ATCATGGCTATGATGAAAATACAGAATAAAACACCCTTCAGTCTAGGTCTTCTCCTCTCCAAACCCCATTCCTCTCCTTCAGTGGACTCTACAGAGCGTTCTGGCCTCTAAACAGCTGAGGAACTTTCTCCCTCTTTAGCCTTGGAGGACATATGCAGAGGTCAACTGTGTAAGGATGTAGGAATTAAATCATTTATTTCCATGAACTTATCTAACACTTAATCCCTCAAAGATTTCCCCACATACTGACACTCAAAGCAGAAGAAACTTGGGCGGTGGGGAGGGTACTAAATAATTTGCCCCTTTTAATCCTCTGACTGGGAAATGAAAACATAATCTTTCATCAGATGGCACCAAGACAAGATTTAAAATGGTTGCCAGGTCACTTCTGGACTGGACAGCTTCCTGCAGAACTGCTGCCTCAAGAATTAGAGAACACAACTCTAAGACTTCTACCCCATCCTTTTTAAAGCTTTCAAAATTCTATAGTTCTCCAGTGTTGGATTCAGCGGTAAATGTACACGTCTACATCTGAGCTGGTCACCCTGAACTCTCTCTATAAGCAATGGAGAAAAATAGGTGCTTCAAAAGTTACATTTACCTTATTCTAAAGCAGTTTTCTGAATCCTAAAAGATGGAGCTCCACTAATTGCATTACTTCATCTTAATTATCTCCATTTATAATATAGGGTGATTAACCTAGTCCTCTGGATCAGTTAAACTTAGGTGAAAATCCCTTTGCTCTTCTGCAGGGAGGGACAAAAAGTTTATGAAAGCAAGGCATTGCTATTATATTCATCAATCATCACTGCTAGAGCAAAAATGTCATGTTCCATTTAGCACTATACAATTTGGAAAGTAGTTTAATGATCGACATTCCCGTATTAGCAGAGATGGCCGACAGCTGCTCTGGGGGTCACAGCCCACTTGCCTTTTTCTGTTCCAGCTAATCTTGAAGTGGACCAGCCACTGGACAATTCTAAGCAGGACAACTCACTACATCTCAAAAACATCTGAGAGAATGAGTGTAAGATAATCTTGTCTCCTGCCCGAAAAACGTCATCTCGGAGCGTGTCTTTACTGACACAAATTTACCAAGGCAAGTTTCCATAACACACCAATCCACAACTCACGAGACAGAAAACACAAATACAAATTTTCTGCATATCTAGGTCAGTCTTTACTGTCTCTGTAATAATAAATCAGATGCCATCTGACTACCAGAGTTTTGAGGACAGTACAACTCAATCATCCAATTCAAACGTATTGAGAATACACCTAGTAACATCACTAATGCAATATGTTTTTGTTACTGCTAAGCAAAGCTGTTCCTCTCATTAAATAGATTTCAAAGTCTCTCTTTCTAGTCTTTAATTCTTTTTTAATGATACGGTCATCTTTGGACAATTTTCATTTGTATGAAGAAAAGAGAACTGTTACTTGATCTTTCTGACCCTGACAAAAAGATCAGGAAGCAGCAACGACAACATCAAATTCTGGCCCATTCTAGGCTCCAAACTCATTTGAAGATTGAACTCTGGAATCAATCTCTTGATGAAAAATGCTTTACTTCACAGTTCACTTTTTGACTTTTTGACTCTTAGTTCGGTCATAAGGAATATTTTTAATTTTTACTGCAATCCGATTTTGAGCCAAGGTGAGTCAAGACTAAGAACAGAAGGTATCAGGGAGAGCACACTAAAGGCCAGTGGAGTCAGCCAACCTCCTCAGAAGCTTACAGAAGCCCAGTTCTGTGGCAAGAAAGCACTCACATTCTGCATTAGCAAGAAACTTTACTTTTTTTCCATTTCCACCTTCTTGCACCACATTCGCTTCTTGTTTCAAGTTAAGCTCTTTGAGAAGGAAGTAAAGTAAAATCAATGAAAAAGCAAAGTAATATCCTGTTTTAATATCATTAAAGTAATATCTTTCTTAAGCACTATTTTTTTTCTCCCACTTCTGTCATATCAACCTGAGATAAAAAAATTATTACAAACAAAAAAACCCTGAAAAACAACTCCACATTTTTCCACAGGAAAAAAAAAAAAAGAGGTTATATCGTGAGCACACTTAATGGAATTCTTCTCTTTTGATGAAGTTTGGAACAAATACTGTACAATACAAGAATAACTGCAACCTTTTTTCCCTTTAACTATGAAGAAACTAGTTTATCTTCATTTTAAAGAATATTATGAAGGGTACAATTTTTAGGGAAGGGCTTTAAAGAATGTGGCTTGTTTCCATAAACGTGATACTACCCAGACATTCCTTAACTTAGAAGATAATAAATTTGTTTTCTGCCTAACATACATATAAAAAAAAGGGTGTATAATATTAAGCAGGAGTATGGTTCCAAGAACTTGTCTTGACAAAATAATCACTGACATATTAAGTTAACAAAAGTATAGGTGGCAAAAGAAGAAAATCCAGTCCTTTTGTAAAGAAGTGCAATAATCTACTTCTGGAATGGACACAATAAAAAAAAAAACCCTACACAGCATATCATAAGCCATCTCTCATAATTTTTAAAATGAAAACATCCATTGTCTGCTGAGACATACATACTAGACTTTACACTGATTTCAGTAAGATCATTTACACATATGGCATTCCCTTATTCTATAAATTGGTTTTAAATTGCAGTTAATGTGTTTAGTTTCTTCTAACTAAATTAGCATAGTACTAATATAACTGTGTAGTTAGTTTGTTACTGTTTGTTTGCTCTCAAATGATTTCATCAGGTTTATGGAAGAGCATTAGTAAATTATATATATAGAGAGAGAACTTTTGTAACTGCTGTCCTATTATCAAAAGCTAAACTTTCAAGAAGAATTAAATATACAGAACATGAACATAACCTTTTAGAAGAGGTACTTTAAAAATCTCCATAGAAATAAACCAGAATACATATGATATTTCAGTTTAATCTTCTAAGAGGCTTTGATAACTTTGATAACTTTGAAAAACAGCATATTACAAAACTGTAAGGGAACATCCCACTTTGTGTAGGCATTGCAGAACAGATGATAAAATTCTCACTGCACTGTGGATGTCCTTCCTGGTTTCCTCTTCCACGACCTCCAGACTCAGGGTTTGGATATAAAAAGAAAAACCATATAGGACCTTTTGTGTTGGTTTTTTTGTTCATTTGGGTTTTTTAATGGCAGTAAGAGGCTGACCTGATCAAATCAGAGCTGCAAAATGCACTTTGAAGCCCCAAGGCCTTCCTAAACCAGCAGTGACTTCCTGTGTAATCACCACAGAGGGAACACTCCTGTCCCTTGCACGGTGTGTAGAAGCCCACTGGGGTTGAAGACTGAGACAGCTCCCTGGGAAGGCAAGTCAGCCTGAGACAATTGCTGCAGTGTACTGAGCAGAGTAGCCCTGCAGAGCTGGTGTGGGACTAGGGTGACAATGAGTGTACTCAGTTCTCTGCTTGCTCCTTGAGGTCTGACACTTCTTCCCTCCTCACAGAGCAACTACACCTTTAATTCAGGGGCCGGGACCTCTGTCAACAAAGTATTTGCTCAGGAAGGAGCTGTTCCTTACAGAACTGAGTAGTCACCTGAGCAATCTTTGTTTTCTCCCCCTTAAGCAGGGAGTATTTACACCAGCTCTGACACCCAGCACCATTAGCATGACTGATCAAAGGTAACTGTCCCAAATCCATCACCTGCCCTGCCAGAGCAGCAATGCAGCACTTCCCACTGCCTCACCTTATGCACTTCCCTGACACTGTGGGGCTGCTCTCTCCCACAGACTGTGACCGTGAGAACAGTCTCTCCTACAGCAACTAAGGAACAAACTGAACTTTGCACACACTAGGATGATGTATTGACAAGTTCCTGCCCAACCCCATCATTGAACTAGTCTTTAGGCTACCATCTTTGAACCTAGTCTGAGCTCAAAAATAAAAGAAGTGGAGTACGAGTTTGCTGTCCATCAAACCAGATACATTACAATCTTTGTACTCACTGTCAGAACACTTATTAGCTTCATCATGTTGACATTGTAAAAAGAAAAGTGAATTGGACATGTATCCCAAAAGAAGGAAAAAGTGTCACATGTTATGATTTTGGGACACCGCTGAAGTTATTACCTCTAAACTCAAATTTGGTAATTTTCTAGATTTTAATTTGAAAGTTCCTAGGAAAGGCTTGCAGGCACATTCCTAGGCTAGGAAGTAGAAAAGAAGCATGTTTTGCAAGAAACTAGCTGGTCGAATTTCTGTCTGATTGATAGAAAGTTTTTATGCAGCAAGGGTGATCTTGCAATATTAATTGTTAAGGTGCCTAGAGCCCTTGTATATGCATCCTTTTATTATTTAAATATTGGAATAAATAAATCAGCTCACTTAAGCAACCAGCAATCCAGATTTGTTAGAATTCTTTCATTAATTTTGATGGTGCTGAACCCCAGATCTGTTAAAAGACTGCAGAAGAATAAGTCAGTCACGGTCTCTCGTAACTTCTAAATGTAAATACCTCAGCTGTAAGAAATCAAAAGTTATCTAGATTTCTTTCATTCACTGGTTTTTTAAATAACTAATGGGGTATTAAATTCTTCACCACAGAAGTCAGCACTTGGGCTTGGCTAAATAGTAGTTCAAAATTACAAGAACGTGTATGTTGCTATACTCAGCTTCCACCCCAAAGGAGATATTTCACAAAGGCTCAGAAAAAAAGTAGAAGACAAAACAAAAAGGCAGCACAAGTTTAAATATAATTACTGACATAATCTTAACAATAATGTTACAAATGTGATATAATTGGTAAATACCCAAATTAGTAAACCCAAGGAGATATTTAAACGCTTTGATATATTTAACATCAGGAGAAATGAACCATCATTATTTAATACCAACTTCAATTTTTTAAATGCCAAGTTCAACTAAAAAGGGTAGGGCCCAGGGAACTTTAAATTTAAATGATTATGATGACTAGAAACAAAGGAAACAATAAACTTATGGATGTTAAAATGCCTCGAAAAAGCCAACTTACGCTGCAGCTTCTTGTTTTGACAACCCTTTGATATTCTTCGCCAAATAATCATCTATGCCATCTTTGTCTTTGATCAAATGAATCCTAAATTTAAAGGAAAAAAATTAAAAGAAACACTGTAAGGTGCTAACATAGACTCCTGCAGCATGTATAATATATTATCATTGCCAAGTAGAGCTAAATACTGAAATATTGACAAAGTAATATATCAGACATTCTATAAACACATACAAATATCTTTTTAATTTTTTGGTCTGTAGCTATTTCAAATCTTTATTTCTAAAAGAAAACAGAGATGGTATTAGCTTTAAAGGATCTGGTTATCTGATATTTCAGTCTGAACTAGAAGAAACTGTGTATTAGCTAAATCAATAAAAATTGATTAAGCTATCCATATTTAAACTGCTTCCTAAAACCAGAAGCATTACATTTTTGCATTATCAGTATGGACCAGGGTGGTCCAATCTATTTCATATTTAACTTTTTCAAAATGAAAAAAAAAAAAGAAAACAAATCAACAAAAAAATTCCCAAATCCAATTCAAAATGTTTTCCTTGGTGCAATGCAATCTTTTAATACTGCTCTTGACTTTCCACAGTTTGAGCAGCATATTGCAAAAGGTGGTCCACTAAGGGGGTGATCCAAAAGGCATTAAAATAAAGAGCAAATTTCAGGATGCATGGATCTAATTTGAATATTTGAACTGTGCATCGTTTCCCCTTTCACTTCAGCCATCATCACTTTGCATCTCCACTCAGACACACAAGAGATGCCTTCAAAGGATAATATGCACTTACTGACCATAAAGTGTATTTAAATAGAATCAGAAATCCTGACTGTAGAGGATATTATATTTATAAAAGCAATGTGAATTTATTTTTATTCTTCTGTAAAAGAGCATGAAGATTGTCTGGTTAATCACTCAGAGATAAAAGAAATTCAACATTAGTGTTCCACATAAATCTATTACTTTCCTCTTTCCTTGTCTGTATTTACACTGCTGTCTTTCATTACAGTGATGAGAGTAAATTCTTTTCATAATGTTAGCTAATATAAGCATCACACTTCTTATTGCTCTGAGAATACCAAAGACACCTCATGAAGTTCATTTAAATGAAAACAAAATAGCTAAGCAAAGCAGAGATATTTTGACATATCTGTATTTAAAACAATGTAACAGTGAAAACTTCTGTCACAAACAGTTCATTTAAATCCGTTCCAGAATTTGCTACTGCTGAGTGGCACCAGCAGAAGCTTGTGCTTCCAGGCTGCACGTAACACAGTCCAGATGAGCTCTGCTCATCTTGCTACATGTACACCTTAGGGATATTGCCATAAAAATTCAGTTATCATCAATACCAAAAACATAAGCAGTATCAAAATTTTAACACCAAAATAGTCACAGTTTAGAGAGATATGTAATGTTGTTTGGGTCATGAAGATAGGGTAATTATTGTTTATTTTAAACGGATGTAAAATATATTTCAAGATACTATAAGTTTATATGAGGTAACTGGAAAATTGAAAACCAGTATTTCTGGGCAAATAAATATGAAATATCAACACAATAAAAGCCCTGGGTGACCTTTGTACTTTAAGGTTGCAAAAATGAGATTTCTTCACATCAGTAGCATGGGAGAGAACACATCAGATATTTGGTGGGGTGGAAGTCCAAACCCCCAAACTGAAACAGTCAACTACAAGAGGCAATTTCTAAGCATCACCATCACCTTGGTGCAAATTTATCTGCACCACAGTTAAAAACCACCTCAAACTGGAACAAAGGAAAGCCTGGTGCCTTGTCATTGTCTTCACAAAGGTATTTTAACTAAAAAAATTCATGGGAAAAGCCCTCAGAAGCATATACAATTTAAAATGTCACCTGCCTTATAGCCAAGGTATAAATTTCTGACTTCTTATTGGTTACGCCCTCAAGCTGAAAGACAACTACAGCCAAGGGGAAAAAAAAACATAAGCAAAAACTTGCAACCTAATTACTGTTTACATCAGTTCTGCAAGAACCTGTTTTGGATTGATGCAACTACAAACACGGTCACCCATCATAAAGAATTGAACTTACTGAAAATAATAAATACTTATCTCATCTTGGCTGTTATTATCAGTGATGTTAATGTAACAATAACACAGAAAAGGCAGGCAGATGATACATAGGGAAAAACACACTAGAAAATTCCATCATTATTTAAAATGGCTTGTTATATGTAATGAGAATTAAAACCAATACAATTAATTTATGTGAAGAATTCAGACTGTGAATTGGAATGGACATTGTTTTTTCACAGAGAATTGAGGTGAGGATACCACTGGCTAAAAGGCATTCTTTCTTTTCTTCCTCAGGTTGTCACTTGGCTTTTTCCGAGCTGTTTTAGCCTTAGTTCTCCAGTGTTTCCATAATGACTCACTATATTTCATAAATAGTGCATTTAAAAAGTCCACTTCACCTGTAAATTTGCTTCTATTTAATTTTAAATCACTCACTTATAAAGACAAATATATTTTAATCCAGTGGGCACCTATCCCAGAATTAACATTTTCACCATGTCTTCCTATAACTGTTTCTGTTATCAGTCTCCACAGAAAAAAAATAGATACTGGTGTTTTTTCTAAAATTAAATTTAATGATAAATACATCTGGTTTTTAATCAAATAACGGAACGGAGTCGCATAAAGGACCAAACTAATTCTCACACAATTTTCTATCCCCACTGCCTATGCTGTTAACTCAGACTCCAGCTTCCTCAAAATCTCTTACAAAACAAACTTACAGAGCTTGTCTTGTTCTCATCACTAGGTACCTACAGCATGGTCTAGGCCATTACAGAATCAGACATTCCTTTTATGCAAACAGGCACAACCTCAGTAGGATTCCCGCAGAAGGATCTCCTTGAACAAGCCTCCTGCCTCCCTCTGGAATGAGTTCTCCAGCACTGCAGTTACTGGAAAAAGTGATGGCTGTAGAACACAGCTCCAGCCATAAAAGATTTAAAAAAAAATAAACACTAAGACATGTCCTTTATCAATGAGTGAGAGGACACGTCTCAGTTTGAGCCCCTCGGAAAGACTGGGCACAAGGATAGGATGTTTATGGATCCTTACTGCTTTTAGACATGGACATGCAGCTGCTTAACTCTGAGATGTCCCAGAACTTTTATCCAAAGGCTAAGGGGAATGCTAGGATCAGGGAAAAAAAAAAAAAGGAAAAAAAAAAGAGGAAGAAGAAAATAACCATAATTCTTTCTGAAATGGAGGCAATTCCAGGAAAAAGAGCAGAGGAGAAACTGAGAGACCAGTACTCACTGAGGGGGACAAAAAAGGGGAAATGAGTGCAATGGAACAGGAAGACACACAGGAATGTGCAAGAAGAAGATGGACTGTATTATGCCACTGCTGCTAATTCTCTCAGCTATTAAGCACAGTATAACGTTTTTCAAGCCAGCCTTATTAATTATATTTTGAGAGTTGCAAAACTGTACACGAATGAAACAAAAGAATCTTGGGGTTTTTCATTGAAATAAGTACATTTTTAATGACCTACATTTGTATCAGTGCTAAATGAAAATAACTTTCTGTGGCTTTTAAAGGGCTTTTGAAGAATTAGGACGAAATACCTACCTTAAACAGAACACGTTTTTTATTTTTATATTTTATTTTTTTTTTAATTCTGAAACTTTCCTAAGAGAGAATTTCCTTGCCTCTGATTTTTGTAGTTTTAAATATTGCAGAAAAGCAAACAGCATTCGTCACCTCGGCACAGCTGATTGAAGCTATTCACAGTGAAAATGCTGCTTTGAAAGAAAAGAGGTACATACCTTGCAAAGTCTAATGGGGGGCAAACAGGCTGCTTTACAAACCGGGGATGCTCCCCTGGGCTTTGTAGGATCGCTTGAGGCAACACATTCATTTTAACTGAAACAAACAAACAAAACCAACATTAGTTGAAACAACGTCTTCAAGGCAGACAAGCAATGCCGTTTCTTATCCTTCTCGTGCTGCTTCCCAGTCCACTGTTTTATTTCCAGTGGACTACATGTCAAACACACCTCCAGTTCCACACAAATCTCCTCAGCGTTGCTTCAGTAGGACATAACACATAGGAATGGTCATGATCTAACTTTCAATGGTTTTCTCTCCTTCATTGAGGTGCTTTTGATTTGCACAGGGACAGCTGATTCAGGAACCATACTTGCATGGGATTCCCTGTGCTTCCTCAAGCTATCTAGGTCCAAGTATTAACAATATATTAGATTAATACACAAGGTGAACAAATGATGGAACATACAGTGTACAGTGCAACGACAGGCACTGTATTAATGTTCAAAATACTACATAATCATAAGAGTAACAATCTTTTGAAGAAAGAATGTAAGCAATGCTATACTTACAACACAGGATTTTACTTAAAACAAAAGCCAAAAACCCCACAGTTATGTAGAATCGTCTAGCTTGTCATCTTGAAGTACATAAATGCTAATAGGACTTTTTTGTCATATGGAGCTACTGTGTTTTTTCCCCAAGTATTCAGTCTACACTTCCTACCATTAAAGTTTCAGCTGCCAGTTCCTTCATTTTGCATGTCTGTGATCTGAGGACGTTAGCAGCAGGAGCACCCTTACTTTTAAATTTGGTTTAATGTAGGTATTGCATGCCCTGCTGGTAGGCCTGAAGGCACAAACTTTTAATAGGGATGGAAAAACAGAATATAATAAGAAGGGGGGGAAAAAATTTAACTATTTGCTACATTTAGTGAAACAAAACTTATTTTACGGGAAATAGTTATTCGATATGAATCAATTTGTTACTGAATGATCAGCATCAGACTAGCAGATATTTTATATTAGCCTTTCTGGGATCAAAAGCCATTTCACTGATGCAGTATTTTTCTGCAGTTATAATGAAGTAATTTTTTTAATTGTGTTACTTAGAATTGAATAACAAAGACAATTATAGGTTGAAAAGATGACAGGATAGGATATTTCTCTTAAGTCATTCTTTTTGGACCTAGTATAATGATAACATTTGTTACAGAAAGAATATTATTTATAAATAATCTAATCTGCAATCAGAGACAGAATATTTTACAGAAGTGCATAATGGAAAATAAAAAAATCAATAGAATAAAAACATATGGGTCATTCATCACTAAAAAAGATTACACTTCTTATAGAAAATGACAGGTTTGTGTACAGGAACTATATAGAAAGGAAAACCCCTTTTTGGGAAGATGCTATTCAGTGAGAAATAGTAATTAAACTTTGGAACAACAATAATGAAGCCCAGAGAAGATGCAAAGCTTTTTTACAAGCCTCTTTGTTTTGAGGTATTAAGTGAGAAAAAGAAAACATACATGCCTTAATGGCAGCTGATGAACCCAGCAAGTCAGGGGGGCTGGCTGGCTGCAGCCATGGGGCAGGAAAGGCAGGGGGAAGCAGCTGAGAGGAGACCCCGGTAGAGCCACTGTAACCATGAAAAGCTATTAATGGGGAGCTGTACTTTGTGGCCTGTCACAGGCTCCAGATTGCACCCCCAGGGCACCTGGCTGGAGCAGACAACATCTCCTTGCTGGCTCACGCGCTCCAGGTTCCCACCCCACGGAAATCAAGTCTCTGGGAAAACGGACTGTCTAGCACACAGGTCTCACACGAACATGAAGCACATATGCAGACATTTTACTTAGTCACATTACTGCCTCACGAGGATGAAAACTACTGCCCTGACTCCTATTTCAAACTCAAAGCTTGGGAAAGAAAAAAAACACCCTGCGCAATAACAACGCCAATTTAACTCTTACTTTAGAGGTGGGAGGTTGCTTTCAGAGTGATATGGAGGGTGCATTTCCCTAATTTCCAAGGTAACTGTGATTCTTACAGGTAAATTACAACCACAGAGACACAAGGCAGAAGGCATCAGCAACACAATCTACAGTCATGTAGATTTTCGTCGCTGACTGCTAACCCTTTTACATCTTACTCCTTTATTATAAAGCCCAAGCCACATCTCATTTACTTAATCAAACACCCACGGAATTCACGGAAGACAAGGCAGTGCAGTTTGTTCCTGAAGAAGTGCTCTGTTTAACCACATGATGGAGGGAATCTCCCCACGGGCTGGAATCGCTCCAAGGTGTACTGAAGCTGAAGGAAAAACGCCAGCTGACTGGAGCTGTGCCTTTCCTGGCACCTTTCAGTAAACCTGTTGGACACCTCTCAGCCCTTCCCACACATTTTTTTCCGAGGCGTGCTCAGACCTGACTGGAGGCCGAAGGTTTCCCAGGGCTGGAAGCAGCCGAGGAGTGGCTACACGCAGCCG